CTCGTTTGCTGTTTATTTTTTCCTCATTTTTTCGTATGTCTACTTGTATCTTGTGCTTTTTCTAGAGGGTCTTGCTTCTTTTCAGAATGATTTTTGTCTTCCTTTTCTCGCTTGCCTCTGTATACTCTTTTGTCTAGCTCAGACCTATGCGTATTCTCTTTATTTCCCTCATTACTGCTGCGGTCTCTTTGTGGTAGCCCTACTTTTGGGTCATGTTTTGTGTTTGCCACGATAGAAACTTGTATAAGAGGCGTATAGTGTGCATTTTCACCTGTACCTTCTAGATATAAATATTCAAATTCACCTTCGGTCGTTGCAATAAAATAAGTATAAATGTAAATTTGATTCGTTAAAGCAAAATGTGTGCAAATGCTTCTCCTTAGTTTTTGAGAGAACACATAAATACAATCGCTGTTTCCGCACATTGTTTGTGATTCAAAAATTTCTTCAGTTTTTTCCGGCTTTCTGCATTTCTGTCATAAGTTCAAGTTGAGCAGAATTGTCCGTAACTTCCCAGTTGAAATATTTAGTTCATACAACCATATAACGCTGTGAAACAAATAGTTCCCGGGTGGATCGAATGGTATATCCGATATTTTTGCCAGGGTACTACCAGATTATGTGCATTTTCCAGTTTCTCTTCGCGTTATGTCTTTTAAATATTCTAGCCACTTATCTGGGGGTGCAACTTTTAAGTTCTCATTGTGTTTGTTTTGTACCGCGTTCTCACTTTCTTCTTACTGGACCATATTCCCCCTATCATGGATGTTTTTTTTTACATTCGCTGACGTGTGTAATGTTATTTGGTCTGTTGTTTTCGTCTCACTAGGATACCACATATCTATCGTCATTTCCAATCTGCCTTTTACATCTCGCTTTTTAATGTCAATTATTATAAGAGCCCGTAATTTATCGGACCTTTCCTCTAATAAATCGTATATGTTCAGCTATTCTTGTTTGTATGTTGAAAATTTCTTCACTTGTTTTATGCTTCCATCCTGTCCTTGCATATCAGTTTCCTGTTCTTCTGTAATTAATTCATGATTTGTAATTACTTCTGTAATTACTTGTCGTAGTTATCCCCTTTCAAAAACCTAGCTCTTTCTTAATGTAGCCTAATTTCCCGTCTGCTGTTCCCTATGAAATTCATTCTTCTTTCTTTGCAACATCTCGTGTTTCTAACTCGTTTTGACCCTGTAGTGCTTGCTGCGGTGGCGAGTTTTTTTTGTAAGGCTCCTCTGATTCAGAGTCCACACCACCGTTTTCTTGACATTCTGTACTCATATCTGAATCTTTTTCAATATTCTCACCACAATATCGCTTCTTTTTCTGTATTACTAAATTCGAGTTTTCTGAGTCGGTACAATGGAGTTTTATTTTCTCAACCAACAACATCTTACCTTGGATTCTCTTCCTAAGAGTTGCCCGTATTTTAAATATGTGCGCAGGAGGTCCGTCGCTATAAGCCAGTTTTTCATTCTCTTCTTTGTCCGCCAGCTAATATAGCACTTGGCGTGGCCATTCGGGATTTACTTCCCTCTCTTGTAGTACTGGATTTCGTGAAAATGCGTCAGGTGGTCTGTTGTTTACGCCCAGGTGGTACATAACTTCGAACTCGTATCTTCTTAGTTCTGCTTTAAGTTTGTTAAAACGAATGTCAGGTTTTTTTGATTAATGAAAGTGCTTAAGCGGTTCGTGGTCTGTAACCACCGTGAACTTGCGTCCGTATAAATATGTTCTAAATTTCTCTTTTGCAAATACAATCGCCAACAATTCCTTGTCGTATGTCGGGTAGCGGAGTTCGCTCCCTTTAAGGCAGCGAGACGCGTACTCGCATGGTATATCTTTTCTGATCTCTCCCTGACTTAGAATCGCTCCGATCACGTGATCTGATGCGTCCATCGTGACGATAAAGAGTTTTTCGAAATCTGGGTCGATGAATATAGGTCCACTACACAGTGTATCCACGAGAGTTTTTAATGCCTGCTACTCTTGGTCACCCCATTTAAAAGTAAAAGTGCCAGCCTTTAAGAGTCTTGACAGTGGTTGGGCGATTTGAGCATTATTTTTCATAAATCGCTTGTAGTAGCCTACGAATTCTAAAAATTCTTTTACTTTCTTTACGTTTGTCAGTCGAGAATGATTTCTAGCCACTTTAAGTTTCTTTGGGTCAGTCATTATTTGTCCATTGCCCACAATGTGACCGAGCACTTTCCCTTCTTTTTTTAAGAATTGACACTTTTTAGGTTCAATCGTAAGATTTGCTGCTGCCAGCCGTTTTAATAGTTTCGTGAATCGTCTCTTATGTTCCTTAAGGTCAGGGCCAAAGACCGCTATGTCATCAATATCCACTTCTATTTCGTGGCCTTGTAATCCTGTGAGTGGTAGTGCAAAAGCCGTAAAAAATGTGTTTGGCGAGTACTTGAACCCCATTGCATTCTCTTGTATTGATAGTGCCCGTATGAGCCTGAAAAGGCTGTCTTATTTGCATCGTCTTTATGTATTTCTACTGGAAAAAATCCCGATTTGAGATTCACTACTGTGATGTACCGTGCTGACGCGAAGTTCTTTTAAACATCACTCTGAAACGGTAGCGGGTAACATGAGCCTACCGTAACTTCGTTTAGTAGTCGAAAATCTGTCACTTCTCTAACCCTTTTTTCGTTGTTTGGCCCCAGTTGTTTTGCCTCTATCCAAGTATTTGAGCTATATATATATACATATATATATAGATANCGTAGTAGCTAGTTCAGCTACATTTTGGTATATATATATATATATATATAGGTGTAAGGTTATTTTATCCTTCGTTAAAGCGTTTTCTTTATTTCAATATTCATTTGATCTCTTACTGCTGGAGAATATCTAAATCTTTTTACCACAATAGGTTCATCTAACGTCGTTATGATTCGGTGCTTTATCAAGTGTGTTGCCTTAAGAGGCTCACCGTTGAAGTCAAATAAATAAGGGTTTAAGTCGAATAAATTTCTCACATTTTTTTTTTCTTTATGGTTGCAACCAGCTGTGTCTACGATTTGCATTATCTTATCTTCCCGTTTTCATTTCTCTTACTCTTCTTCATCTTTTGCAAAAATTTTTGTTTTTAATTTATCATCAGCTATTTCTTCATTAAATAACCTCATTACTGCGTCCACCAAGCTTCCGACGTTATCCCATACAAGGTGTTCTGAGTGCTTCCGACAAATTTTTTGGTAATCTAGCAGCTCTACTTCCAGAACAGGCCCGCATTTTATCTCGTTACTTTTATTAATGCATTCTGCGACTCTATTACCGTTGATATTTCTGGCTATAAAGTTTTTAAACGATATTCCTTTTTTTATTCCTGGTATCCAGCTATTTGCTGCATTATTTCCACTCTTTCTTACTCGCCCATAAATAATTTGTGTTGATCTTGCAGGTATTTTAAGATACTCTGGCCTTAACAGTGGTATCTCTACGCCATTTATTTAAATCATATTCTCGGCAGCGCTTATCTGGCCCTGGTACCAGTAGAAAGAATCCCACCCTATGACTCTTTCCGCATCGATTGCTAAGTCATGGGGGACTGCATGAAATGTGCAGTCCAAACCTAGCAACTGGGACTATAATGTGCCCAATTTTTTGCGTGCTCCGTGAGTCACGCCAATTATAGCTACTTGATACCTACTATCTATAAGTATGTCTGTGCTTAGGAAATTTACCTTTTTGGTTAAAATCTTTGTGCCTGTATCCGCATTAAAAGTCGCCTTTCTATTCTTTAACTGTGGTCCCCCTGATTGGACCGATGGTGGCGTGTGCCCTGTTCTCGCAAGTTTTATTGTTATTTCGGGAAGCTGCTCTATTTCTTCGTCAAACTCTGAAAGTTTGGGATCATCATTCTTTACATATGTGTCTGGCGCTTTTATCCGATTACTTCTTATGTGGGCCCTCCTGTCTCTCCTCGTGCGTCTGTTTATATAATAATCTTATTTCGAATGTATTTATGTGCTCGTCAATAAGGCAACCAATCAGAATACAATTTGAAAGACAATTTCCCTTCAGGACTGAGTGCTTGCCTTCTTACATATCCTTGTGATTATCTGCAATTGTAGATGATTACAGCTGCTTGTAGAATATGACCGGAACTGTCGTCTTTTGTCGGATACTTGGCCTCTTGATTTTTGGTTGTTGTATCCTCGTGGCACTGCAATATGTATGCTTTTCTGGCTTGCTAAAACGCGTCAAATAATATTTAAAAAAAATTGAAACTCTTACCACACCCTACACTTAGAACCAAAGCTGTTACATAGGGAAGATATTAGTAAGGAGGTGCATCGAGAGAACAACCAACACTTGTTATTTCGAAGACTTTTATTCAAGCCGTAATCATGGGTAAAGTAGAGCGTGTGTTTACCTCGAAGGCCAGTCGTGTACTTTCCTGAAAGACTCTCTCCTTGCTTGCTCTATCCCTGTCTTGGCCCTAAGGCCCCTTGTTACGAAATTTAAGGAGAGGAAGCGTAAAGTCTTACCTATACCATCGTGCGTTACGCTTACTTATTATCTACTCTGATTGAAATAAATAATTTAAACAAGTCAGTGCACTGCCAGGATTAAACTTAAGTACCTATTTTATATGCTAAGAAACAAAAAATTGTCTATAATGCAATAGTAGCTACATTATGAAAAATATTAAGAAGAATTTTTGTTAAAATGTAACCTAAAAAATATTATTAAGTATTAATATGACAGACATTATTAGAAAAACATAAAGTTAAAAAGTAAAAATAAACGGGGTCTTATTTGAGTCCCACGACTTTTTGCAATCACATATTACGTTATATGGAAATCTGGGTTTCTTTGTGTACTAGTCTTACCACTTAATCCGCACCTGTTTGTGAGATATTAAGTGATCGTAATTAGACTGGAGACATGATTTTATATAGTTTTAAGTTGAATTCTTAGTGTCTGTCAGTACTTTACAAGACTTTAAAATTATCATGCTAGTGTGCATCTTATAAAATATGAGTGTAAGAATAAATATTGTACAAAATATAAATGTAATGATTGTGCTAAATGTGATTTCTGTCGAATTCACTATGTATGTACATTATTGATGTAAATGTTTCCAATACTTATAAAAAATTTTTTTTCAGAGAAGACTGTCTCCAACGAAATTTACGCTTTCACCTGATCATAAATACTTACTTTTGACTCAAAATGTCAAAAAACTGTTTAGATATTCATTTTTAGCACAATATACTGTGTACGATCTTAATACAAGGTAAGGTTTATAGAATAATTTTTAAACTTTTCAAGGAATTTTATTACGCTCTTTGGAATGGAAGTATGCTATTATCATACTATAAATTCAGAATTTTTAAATTTTTATTCCGAGGTATATTGCTGTAGTATTGGCAATCAAATCAAGTCAAAGCTCTTTAGTCAGTACTTATTTATATTGTTAGCTAGATACACTTGCCATTTAACAGACCTAAAGAGACCATGTTATATTCTAGACTTTTATTTCTTTCACTTTTAATACAAACGTAACACATAATTTATAATTGAAACTTTTATAGGCTTGAGAGTAAGCCAATAATTTTTTATTTTTTGCCTATCAAAAGTATGTAATAAAAATGTATTTAACAATAAACAGAATAATATTTTTTACTGGATTTCAATATGCAAATCGCATACATATGATCTGAGCACTGTACTTTGTTAGTCACGAACGGTCATCAAAAAGTGGTAACCTCTTACTTACTCTTATATTGTGGTTTTTAACTTATTTTCAATTTTAATGTTAGATTCCTCTTCATCAATTAGTTTGTACCTTAATATTTTATTTACAGAATAAATTTTCTAACTATCTACCTTATTAAATAGTTTCTCTCTAGAACTTTAAAATGACACTTTTTAGTAACAGTTTTTGTCAGTTAATAACATTTATTTAACTGTTCTTAACATAAAAATTAAAAAAAATTAAAAAATAATAGTTTAAGTTTTGTAGCTAACAAAAACTTTTTCAAGCAAATTTTACATTATTTTTATCTGTAGCTCATTATTTGGTGATTCCAACAAGGTTGTTCCCGACAGAGTTGGCTAATTATAAACAACGAATTACAAGTTTTTCCTTTCCTTCTCTTTAATAAAAAAGCGTTAAGTTTCTTTTGTAAAAGAAGGTTCGAATGTCTCACGCATAGTGGTCGTTGATACGATCGTTGTGTCGATGTTTGCGTGCCTGACGATAGAAGGAGAGGTGTCGTTCAGGGCCGATTTGTCACTACAAAAGCATTCTGTCAGTGAAATTACGGGACGAGAGGGGTAAGGGTGGAGAGGAGATTCCTTTCCCTCTTGTGGACGGTCATCACGAGACATTCGAAGATAGCGTTATTGTTTAATTTTTTAGTAGTTTGTTGCCATGGCAAATTTTTTTGTAGTTCGAAACGAAGGAGAGAGAAAACGTCATTCTCAAAAGAGACTTTCAGTGAACCACATTGCATAACCCTTTTTTCTTTGAAGAATAAAAGTTCCCTTTTTAAAACAGTGTGATTATTTTCTGCGCGTAGTAGCTAGTTCAGCTACATTTTGGTGCCGGGCATTTTTTTTGTTTCAATCCCAATTTTACGTGAGAAAAAAAAAAGGTGGAACGATGTCAAAGAGAGGAGGCAAGGAGGGGCTTGGTGTCCCAACAGAGAAACGTGCGAGGACGTCAAGGGTCATTGAGTCATCGTGTGCCCCTCGTGTGACTGCTGCTGCTGCCATCATCAAGCCGTCGTCGATACGGCGGCCTCCCTTCTTGGCGTTGTTAGAAGCCGCACGCTCTCGTGCACCGCACCAATCTCCGGATAATCCTGTCTCTATATCCAATTTCAGCACCGGGCTAACGATTGAGCCAGACCGCTTCTTCAACGAGTTGTTGCATTCAGCTACTACATCAGATTCAGAGCCCGATCTCGTCGAGCCACCATCGCGACTGGACAGCTCCTCTCCATCATCATTATCCGATTCTGAATCTGATGGTTCCATTGAGCTGCCGTTGCCTCCTGGTCTGCGACCGACGAGAGCCGTGCGCTCTCGAGCACCACGCCAATTTTCTTCCGATCTTGCTTTCATGGCTGACTTCAACCTTGAGCCACCGCCACCGATACCTAACCTACAACTGTCGAGCGCCACGCGCTCTAGTGCACCTCGAAGGCGTCTTACAAATTCTGCTTTCACAGTTAGCGTCAACCTCGAGCCACCACCGCTGCCACCACCTGATCCACGACCGACAAGCGCCGCGCGCTCCCGTGCGTCTCGCTAACGTCCTACCAATCCTGCCACAACGGATGGCGTCAACCTCGAACTGCCGCCACAGCCACCACCTAACGCATGACCAACGGGAGCCGCGCGCTCTCGTGCGTCTTGCTGACGTCCTACCGATCCCGCCTCAACGGATGGCGTCAAACCGCCGCCGCCACCACCTGATCCACGACCAACAGGCGCCACGCACTCTCGTGCGTCTCGCCGACGTCCCACCGATCCTGCCTCAACGGATGGCATCAACCTCTAGCCGCCACTGTTGCCACCACCTGATCCATGACCGACGGGCGCCGCGCGCTCTCGTGTGCTTCGTCAACGTCCTACCGATTATGCCTCCACGGCTCGCTTCAACTTTGAGCAGCCGCCACCACCACCACTTTATCTACGACCAACAGGTACCACGCGCTCTCGTGCGTCTCGCCGACGTCCTACCGATCCTGCCTCGAAGGATGGCGTCAACCTCGAGCCACCGCCGCCGCCACCACCTGATCCACGACCAACAGGCGCCACGCGCTCTCGTGCGTCTCGCCGACGTCCCACCGATCCTGCCTCAACGGATGGCATCAACCTCGAGCCGCCACTGTTGCCACCACCTGATCCATGACCGACGGGCGCCGCGCGCTCTCGTGTGCTTCGTCAACGTCCTACCGATTATGCCTCCACGGCTCGCTTCAACTTCAAGCAGCCGCCACAGCCACCACCTAACGCACGACCAACGGGAGCCGCGCGCTCTCGTGCGTCTTGCTGACGTCCTACCGATCCCGCCTCAACGGATGGCGTCAACCTCGAGCCACCGCCGCCGCCACCACCTGATCCACGACCAACAGGCGCCACGCGCTCTCGTGCGTCTCGCCGACGTCCCACCGATCCTGCCTCAACGGATGGCATCTACCTCGAGCCGCCACTGTTGCCACCCCCTGATCCACGATCGACAGGCACAACGCGCTCTCGTGCGTCTCGCCGACATCCTACCAATCCTGCATTTGCTACTGGATTCAGCTTCAGACCACCGCCTCGGCCAGTCAGCCCTTTGTTCGAATTGCCGCTTTCATCATCGGAATCTGATGTCGATATTGGTGGCTTTCAAGAACCACGAGAACCACGCTTACGTTTCATCGAACAAGACTACGAAGACGAGATCATCTATCAACCTTCAGCATCGTCCACAGTAAATTTAAGAGGCAATACAAAATTTGTTTATAATGGACAATCATACAGCACATCTACAAACACGCACTACCAATTTCACAGACGCGCCCTACCTTTCACAACATTTTTCCATCTAACAATTTAAATACATTGCATCATGAACGTTTCCAGTCAACTCGTAGAAATGATAACCATGTCAGGAACGATGAAAGAGAGATAGGCAATCTTAGAAATAATTTATCGAACTTACGCACAAATAATAGTGTTAGTGAACCTAACCTAGCGAACCTTTTTAGAAAATTCATTGGTCGTTATAAGAGAAAATTCTTCTAATCCCACAAACACTACCTTATTTAATCGAATAGCTCATTCAAAAAATTTATCCTCATTTTCTGGTGATACGCTCAACTGGATCCGTTTCAAAGAAGCCTTAGAACACTCAAGTGAACTCGGAAATTTTTCTGACTAAGAAAATGTAGCTGGATTACTTGATTGTTTGAGAGGTAAAGCAAGGTCATCAGTAAAAACTCTGTTTGCAAGTAGAAGTAGTGCCTCAGATATAATGACAACTCTAGAAATGCGCTTTGGTCACCCATGTGTCATTCTTTTAAAAGTAGTACGAGGAATAACAGATTTACCGCGCATCGAGCCAAGTAGGTTAATTTTTTGGAATTTGTGACGAGTTTAAAAAATTCGGTTGAAGCTATAAAGACTTTCAATGATGAAGGCTATTTATATAGTGCGGAATTGCCTAAGGACGTTATGAAAAAACTACCTGGGGCGATGCTTGGTAATCATGTACGCTTTGCAACTAATGAAAAATCAGAAAAATCTAATTTGGAAAAGTTGTCAGATTTCTTGTTTAAAGAGGCAGAAATGAATTTAGCTGCAGGAGCAATTGAAGTGTGATCAAATGATTTTCTGAAAGGAAAAACGGAACGATCATCACAAAGAGAGTCTTTACTCGTAACAAGTGTTAACTATTCTAATTCTCGTATTGATGTGTGCACTAACTGTAAATGAAACGATCATTTGATTGAAAAATGTCGTGAATTTTTAAATAATCCTGGTTTCTTCCGTTGGAAGATCGCTCGAAAAGCACGACTATGTTTTAATTGTCATAAAGAAAATCATTTGTGAGAAAAATGCAATCAAAAGAGTTGTGATATATGTAAAACCTTTCATCATACACTGTTACACGTTGACAATGAATCTAGAAAATCATCGCGTTTAACTAGTGTATCCGATACAAACACCAAAAATGTACAAACGAAAGATTTGAACAACTGACTAGAACCAGGATCATTCTTACTAGTTGTTCCTGTCGTTATTTTGAGTCAAAAAATTTGTAAAACGATTGATGCACTTCTCGATGACGGTTCAACTGTGACCGTAATGAATGAGCACTTAGCAGACGAACTAAGAGTCATACGTACTGTAACTAATGTTTCTTTAAAAGGTATCGGCGAACAAAGCTCTCTTTTGTCATCAAATAAATAGACAAAAATTCAAATTAAAGCCGATTCAGGAGTCTATGAGCTTACAAATGTAATGATAGTAAGAAACTTTGCACTACCCATGGCTCGTGTAAGCAACGAGTTATCAAATTTCTGCAAAGAAAACTTGGGCATTCTAATTCATCCCTTTGAAGCGGTACCTGATATGATAATCGGACAAAATTTTATTGATTTAATTATTACACAAGAATATCGATTTTTAATTAGAAAAAATTTAGTTGTTTCTCACTGTATCTTAGGTTGGGCGATTCATGGTATGATAAACTCGAGCGGTGAAAGACGAGTAAATTTTTTACACTCTCAGAAAAGT